TGTCATCATCAAGATCCAGAGAATCCCAACTACATACTGGGCACGTCTACATGAGACACTAACTGTGCAGTAGCATATCACAGCTACAAACAATGTTAATAAAGCTACTGCACGGTATTATTAGGCTATTGTAAAGCAGCATCACTAAAAAAGCATTCACTAGCACTACTGCGCAGTAACTCTGGTTACTGTGTATTTATGTAATACTTGATTATACTCTCCTCTGCCTGGATTACATTCTCCTCTGCCTGCTTTTCACCAATCCTCTGGTTTTCAACCAAATTTTGCAAGGCTTTCCCTAAACTTTTGTTGGACAGAGCAGAGAATTATAGGGCAAAAACTATTTAAGATCCTAAATCAGCAGCTAAATAGCTGCATGAATAAAAATGTTACAAATAAATACAGTGATAAACAAATTCAAATATTTGAAATTGAGCTTCCATCATTATTTATCTGCCAGCACCTTACTGTAGGGGTTGGCATTTCTCCTTCAGTAGAGGAGGATACCATTAACACCTGAAGGAGAACAGAGAACAAAAATCTGTATGCTACACTTCGTAAAGTGGTTTGCTAAGAGAAAAAAATACAGTGGACCAAATTCTGCCCTACTGTATACTTGCTCACAAGCAAAGAGAAAAACATATTGTCTGCTATCTTTGTATCAAACTCATTAAGGTTCGCAAGTCTAATGCTGTGTTTTCTAATGCTGTAAACCAAGGGTGTGAAACACCCCAGGCCCTGGATCAAATCAGACCTTAGGAGTCCTCACAGGCCCCAGATCCATGCAGCCAGAAGCAGACAGGAGTGGGGTCAGTGCCAGGTGAAGGTGGAGCCAGGGCCACAGGGTAAAGGAAGGCATACCAAGAGGCCGTAGGCCAAGAGGCTATGGGGGCAAGCAGGGCTATGTTGACATAGCCCTCATTTGCTCCCTGCTGCCATGTTCAACAGGGCCCCTGGATTCTGCAGCAGCCCTCACCTGCTAGCTTTGACTCCAAATTCCCTGGCCTGTAGTGATCACTGGGTTCAATAAACACAGGCATACATGAATGAGAACTTAACAATTCAAATTATTTGTGGAGCAGCAGGCAAGCCTCAACAGTCCTTTATTCTCTCAAACTCCCTTAGCCAAAGGACTGTCTCCCAATTTCTAGTCTTCTAAGTAAGGGAGTGTCTCTGAAGTATAACTTCTATCACAATGTGCCCAGACAGCTTCAACTTATAAACAAGTCAGCTTCTTTTAAAATCTAACAGAACTTAACCACATGGCCACAAATTAAATATCCTTCTGCTACTACCCATATCCTACAGGTCATATCATGAACATCTTTAATTCACAACCATTCCAAATGTGCTTGCGCTGATCCCAGCAAGAATTTATTTAAATTCACTCCTACTTATGTACTCTTGGATCTGACCCTTCCCCCTTCCTTAAGGCAATGAATTCTCAGCAGCAGAGAACCTTTCCCTCCCGCTAGCGCACACTGCCGGAGAGAGCAGGAGAGAGAAAGATGCTTTTCCCTTTCCACGAGAGCTCTGATAGTTTCCTAGGACACCTACTATCCAGTGCTGTTATGCCAGGAGTCACAGAACTGTTACACTTTTTATAAGTCCTTTTTCATACCATGTGTACAGCAAAACATCTTAAAGGCAGTGCTGCACTACATGCAGGTTCTTTGGGTGAAATAACTGAGAGCAGTAGAAGGGTTAGCTCTCTGCCTTTATCTCCTCTGTCTTGAGGCAGAGCTGTTCCCTGGGTAACTGAGCAACGAATAGGCAAAGGGGTTGTCCTGAGATTCCTGCAAGATGGAATTGCCTTAGTGCTTTTTGTAATGGCACTGTTTAAGGACAGATTTAGGTATTGTAAAAAACATGCTATGCTAAGACAACACTGTCATCATCAACTTCTTAAACAAAATAAAACTTAAATACAAATATAACACCCAGAAATCTACTACCCCACAGAGAATAGCAACAACGCCAAGGCCTGAGAGAGTCCAGTGATGAAACCGTGGCAGAAATATGTCCGCTGACAGAAAATGCTGGGTTTCAACTAGTCATCAGACTGTTGCCATGCAATTCCTGTTGGTGAGGGTCCCCTCTATACTCACTATGAGCTAGTATTAACTAACAGAGATCTACTGAATTTTTCAATTTCTGGAATACAAAGACAGCAAACTTGAAACTCAAGTCCATGCAATGCCAGTACTTCTCAGCCAGTAAAAAAAGTATAGATCATACTGTTCGCCCTTCAGGTACACTGGTTTCACTATCCTCTCAAGACATCAGGCATTCTGTATCACCTTTCCTCGCACTTACAGAGAACACCTTGACAAAGAATTCAGACTTCTCATCTTGCCCTCCTTGCAAATACACTTGCAATTATTAAACAAAGTTTCTTCTGCATTCAGTTGTGACCAATGGGTAGTGAAGAGTGTCTGTTAAATCTGTCACAATTCACAATTCCAGGTGCCAGTGTCACACTACTGTGAAATTCATTAATCCTTTGAATGGTCACCTGAAATTTGCACAAGCTCGCCTTGTCAACCATATGCAACTAACATTTGTCAAGCATCTGATGGAGCATTAAAACAAATCACCTTTTTTATTTAGCCACATGACTCAAAAACAGACAGTGATACCAATGTTTTGCTAATTTAATGGGTTATTTCTGTACATTGTCCCATTTGCAAAGCGCTGTTAAAAGCTACACTGGGCTTTTCCAATGCCAATGGCATCTATTCCAATGCCAAATAATTGATTAAAGTCATTACAAAGTCACTAATCTACATAAACTCTTCTGGCACTTGATTGTTGCAAAACAGCCTCTTAAAACATGCACCTACTATTATCCATTTGACTTGATCGCTGAATGACTGTAGAAAAACCAAAAATAGAGAAATCTGGTTTCCATCTACTCCTCACCAAAACTCACTCTCATTCTGTGTATCTGCAGACATGCGTGAAAAAACACACCGTCTGGCACAGTTCCTCACAGTGGAAATATTCATGTTGATCCTTTAAATAGCAAGAGTACAGATTTTCAGGGCATTCCAGTGTGAGAAGACATCGATAGCTACACATTGCCAAAGTAAATTTCAACCTTTTGACTCCTGATGTTTATAGGGGCAAGGTCACCGCAATACAGAAAGTTACTGCTTCAAATACAGTTAGAAAGAGTGATGGTGCCTTATTTCTCCATTTTATTTCATTCAATGTTTTTAATAAACAGTTTAGCTGTTCTGAGATCTTCCTGGATATTCTTAAAATCCTTTTCCAGAATACAAAAAAAAAGTATTATTAAGTTAAAGTGGTATATAGTGTTATGATGCCAAAAAGATCTCCCTTCATCCAAGCAGCATAAAATTATTAAGAAGCATAACCCCATCTCTGCTTAATTTTATTTTTACGGAAGTCAGTTTCACATGGAACTGAAATCCCCCCATACCAGTATTTATTAATTTATACATGAAAGTCTAAAAAAATCTAGCTTTACTCAACAGCAGATATTACAAGAAGAGTCATTATACTTTAACATTGCTCTATGTAATCTTTCCTTCATGTAGTTCCTTCTTTTTCATTAAAACAGAAATACCTTGAAAAAACCGTAACAAGCAAAAAGATTTCAGTAAATGCATAAAACATTATGGCAGTTCAATTTTTAGCAAGCACATGAAGAGTGAAATGTTAAGATCAGAGGACAATATATTTCTGTTTTCTTGGCTATAGTGCTGATGCTAGAAAAAAATGATAACTGATATCCACGTAGATAAAAGCAACATTGCAAGTTCAGCTTAACTTCAGCCACCCTGCTTAACAAGTATATAACTCAGTTCAAGAACCTGTGCCCCACACTGCAAAAACAAAAAATCTTGTTTGGCATACTGCTCTAGGATTCCTCCACTGAGAGCAATACTAGCAATCAAGCAACTTTGACACATGCCATGCTGCTATCTACTCCTTAATGATGAAATTACGTAGGACACCTATTACTGAGTATCAATCTTTTGATCCACATTTTTATTGTTCTGTTTCGAAATTTCTTGTTTAGCTAACAACTTAAAACCATGCTTCTGTACTTTCAAGGCCAAAATGCTGCCACACTAAGCAATGGTAAACAAGCATAGCAGCCACAGTTAAGTGCTATGATTAAAAGGCTGTGACCTAAAATTCGACTATCATAGCACAGCTAGGGACCCATTTCAGTAACAACTTTTCCCACATACATTGCTGCATCTTTTATAATGCTAATTATGTTTACAGATCACTGGCAGGGTTAAAAAAAAACACTTTCAATACAGCTTCAGGTTGGGTTTCTAGTTTTGTCTTTTTAAGACAAACACTTTCCCGTTAGTAAATGTATATACAAAGTTGTGTGCGTGTGTGTATGTATGCATACACACACACACACACACACACACACACACACAAGGAGATTTTAATATGACCATAATAGCTTATTTTATGAATGGGGAAGACCTGCAATGGTTTAGGTGGAAAAAAAACAGGTACACAACTAAGTTGATCACATATAAGAAAAGAGCAGTTCAGGCTGTTCAAAGAAGTTCCCCAACACCATTTATCAACCCAGATCCTTTGAAGTGCCTCAAGTGCAAAACAGCAATACCACTTCTTCAGAACTAAAAGCAACTTCACATAAAAATGGTGAATTTGTGAAGAACCATTTGTCTCTCCTCTTCACACATCACAAAGAAAACCAGAAATGCCACTTTTGTTTAGTTGTTCACTTTCTACACTACAGCTCTTCCTGGTAAAAACTTAATCTTTATATTAACACATGTACATACTTGGTTAGTTATTAGGGAAATCTATGCATCTTTTCATCTAAAAGGATTCTATCAGTTCAGTTGATTCATGCCATCACACACGAATCAAGAAAAATTGCCCCCCTCTGTGATGTAACAAACCATCACACTTACGTGTTAATTCAAATGCATGGTTAGTCTGCCATTATTAGATTAACATGTTGTTCCTCATCTTACCTCCATGATCTTGTCATGAATCTGCAGGCCTTCTGCCTTGTCAGCAGGTCCATTTTCCAAAATTTTTGAGACATAAATTCCTTCACTGGAAGATTCTTCCTGATTGTTCTATAACAGGTAAAAATTAAATTGCAAAATAAAACAGGGCTGCATTAGTACAAGAGAAAAGAATGAAAAACACTTCCTGCTGTTAACTCCCTCTCATACCTTAAGGCAGAGCTATCAAACTCACCCCAGGCCGTGGGGCCAGATACGGACTGCTGCAGCCCCTTCCAGACCAAATCCCAGGTTGTCAGGGGCTCCTCCCAGGCTGGATCCATGGGGCCACATTAGGGCAGAAGTGACTCCAGGATCATGTGGCTGCATAGAGACACATTCAGGCAGCACAGAACCAGGGGCATGCATCAGCAAGGAGCCTGAACCAGGCAGCAGTGCTGAACTCTGGCCAGACAGTGGCAGAAAACCAAAGGCACAAGCTACAAAACTGCATTCGGGCCGCACAAAGCTGGAGCCAGGGGTGTGCAGCAACACAAACACAAGAATTAGTATGAGCGACAGCTCCCCAGCTCCACACCACCACCCAAATGCTGTGTTGCTGCCCAGCCACAGCTCCATCTCAATGAATGCCCACCATTCCACAATTCCTGACCATGACTCCATGCCATCACATGCCCCTAGCTCCGCAATGGCACATAGCCCCGACACTGCTGACTGCCTGAAGTTCCATGCGGCTGCCTAAACGCAGTTCCATGCAGCCACACTGTGGCAGTGCCAGGGCCATGTGGCAGTGTGAACCGAGTACACACACTTCTAGTAACCCACTGGACTGCCAGTGAGCTGGATGCAACAGTACCATAAGCCAGATGCAACCCATGGGCCATATGTTTGACACCCCTGCCTTAAAAGCCTCTTTAAAGCCTCTAAGGCACAAAATACAGGGTAAGCCACAAACAAAAAATTCAGTGTTTCAAAGTGATAAACAGGCCTGTCAAGTATCCATTTCAGCTGCAAGCATATGAAGGGGGAAGACTTTAAATAAACAAAACTATACATGGGGGGGCAGTTAGAATACAAAAAAGGACTTATATTATGATTGCATGAGGGATCCTACTGACTTTTTGCTAATTAGGTAGAACCAAAGTGTCACAATTTGCCACTGTTAGATGTTGCGTTGTATACCATAGGGCATTGATGTCCCATCTCTCTGGCTCCGTGGGCTGGGTTTGTGGCATGAGGCCGGTCTGTGGGCTAGATTCCACTGGAAGGGTTGGTCCGCAAGTGCAATCTAGCATGCCGGTATGCAACCCTGCTATAATATCATTCCACACACTCGCTCACACTAAGCAGCAGACATGGCCATGGAGTGACTGCATACCGGCATGATCTGGCATGCAGGGTCATAACATCTGAACAGCAGTGCGCCCCATGAGTCCAGAAATTTAGCAATAGAGAAGCATTAGCATCAGCAGTGCCACAGCTCTAGGAACAATTAACACTGCTTCTGCTCTCCAGCCAACACATTTCTGGACCTGTGGGAAGCTCCGTAAATGGGATGACAGCTCCAGGGATTGAATACAGTTCACAGACCAGAAATTGAGCATCACTACCACGAGGCATACACAATCCTTTGGAAATCCTTGCCACCTGGATCCAAAAATAGTGACATGGGGATTCTATGAGACAGATCTACAACAGGCAGCACAAAAACTGCAACTTGGAAAGTGGGATTTGTGGAAGTAAGGTAGCTTCTGTAGTTTACCCTAATGTTTGCAGTACTGTTTGAAAGCCGGGCCTCCAATGCATCTCTCTGGCCCTCAGTACACTTCCTACAGGACTTCCAGTCAGGTCCTCAGAGCACACCTTGTGGCAGTCTCCACCATGTGTACACCAGAATAATTCCCAGAGCCAGCCAGGAAAAATGAGATCTTAACAGTGTCTAATTAAGACAGCATTTCATATCCTTTGAAACAAACATACAAACCTCTGACCTTATTTTTTTCTGGGCAAAATGGGGGGAAACCAGAGATGTGGAGAAGAAAATTTTCCAGTGCTTTATTTTTCCATGGGAAATTTTCCATTTCTAAAAATTCATTGTTTCATAAAATTCATTAGTAACAATGAATGGATGCCAGTACAATATTAGGCAAGCTTGGCAGTTTCAAAGCTGTAAATAATGTTTTTCAGGTGATTACCGCTAGGAAGTGTGTGAGAGAGTACATATATGTTTTATTGATTTGTAAACAGGAGGGTAAATACACTCACATAATAATCCAAACCAAAAATAAAGTTATGAATTCACATAATTAGCTGTGCAGATCATATCAAAACCACAGCTAAAATTCTTATTTCATCTCAGACTGCAAGTGAAAGCAAAACCAAAACTAAAACTGTGATTAATTTTTTGTTTCATTTTCAGTTCAAACACACAGAGCAGCATCTCATTTCTTTTCTTGAGTTGAGGAAGTTGGACGTGTTTGCATAAGAACTGTTAGATTTTTAGTGCTTTTGGTTTGAAGTAGTCATAATAATGTCTAATCAGAAAAAAATAGTGTGTGGCATCATTATAGTGAAGTTCAAGTAACTGAAGAAAGGAAGAAAGTTGGTAGGTGTAAATATTGCGGGCAGGAGTATGCTAACAATGCAACAAGAATGAAGAAATATTTAATAACATGTAAAAACCATCCTGAAAGTATACAAGCCATATGCAGAAAGCTAATACAACAAAGTGGTGGAACAACATAATCTGAGAAAAGTCTACTACAGGAATCCTATGCAAGTAAACAAATTAATATGTTAAACAACACACAGCATAGACTAACATCTATATTGTTTTAAAACATTAAAATTTTAAAAGTTGTTAATGCAACTCTGGACTATTATTTATCTATTTATTTAAAATATACGTATCCTGCTTTTCTGCTTGCACTATGCACCCAAAGTGGCTTAGGCTTAACAATATTTTTTTTAATTACACAACAGATAACTAGTTAACTGTTTCAACCCAGCAGAGCAAGCTTAGTCCTTTGGCTGATGGCAGAGACCAAACTATACTTCCCTTTGGCTCTGCAGTCTCAGGGCAACTGAGCAGCAAGTTGAGCAGCAGAGTGTTCTTTCTGGCAGGGAGGGGGAAAGCAAGCTCCCTGCTGCTTCTCCTTCTGATGGATGAGGCCAGACTAGAATAGGCTAAAATAAAATCTTTTCCCCCTTTTGCTGCAGGAACTTGGTAGCTCAAGTGAAATAGCAGATTTGCAAAAAAAATGGAAAATGAAAATGCTGAGCTGCCAGATCCAGGGGAAGAAGAAGCAGGATCCTCGCTTTCAAGATCACTGTCACTAGATCCACCATGAGTAGCTGTTCAAGACAGTCAAGCTTTTTATCAAGCTTTGTGGACAAAATGTCCAAAGAAGATCAAGAAAAAGAAGATGGGACATTAACTCGAGCTATATTTGCAAGTGGTACACCTCTTTCCATAACTGAAAATCAATACTGGAAGGAACATTACAAACTAGTTTGCCCATCATATAAGTTACCATCACATTATCATTTATCACATTTTCTCTTAGATAGAGAGTATGACAGAGTTCAAACAATAGTTATTCAAAGGATTGATCAAGCAGAATCACTAACTGATGTCAGATGGATGGATATTTGACAAGGAAATCCTTTATTGACCATTATGTTAGCAATACCTGAACCAATATTTCTGAAAGCAACTGTTACCAAATCTTCTCATTATACAGGTGAATACATCGCCAAATTACTGAGTGAAGAGATCAAAAGTACAGGTCCCTCCAGAGTACAAGCCTTTCTAACTGATAATGCGAGTACCATGAAAGCTGCATGGCAAATATTAAAGGCAAAGTATCCTCATTTAATAGTATCTGGCTGTCTTGTTCATGGGTTGAATCTTCTGGCAAAGGGACACAGTAAGTGTGAATACAGTGAAGATAATATTGGCAAACTGCAAAGCAATTGTGAAGGTATTCAACAGTCATCATGTTACTAATCAGACCTTGAAGAAATTACATAAAACGAAGCAGGGGAAGTAAAGCGCACTTTTATTGCCAAAAGAAACTAGATGGGGCTCAGCTACAAAGTGTTTACATAGTTTGCTGCACACAAAGAACTGTTTGCAGTGTGCTTCAATAGATGAGACAATATCCCAGATTATTCCCGCAAACATTCGGAAGCAGATTCTAGACAACGTGTTCTAAGTTTGAGTTCAAGGAGCATTCAATTTGTTACTACAGTTTCAGTGGCTATCAAGAAACTTGAAAGAGATAACACCAAGCCTTTCAAATATTCCAGAGATATTCAGACAACTGAATGAAAGTCTAATTGAGCTTTTGACTTCTTCACCTCTATCCAAAACAAAGAAGTTTCCTAAGAGGTCTGAGTTTTGCTCTCATCCGGTTCATCTGGCAGCAAACCTTTTGGTTCCTCAAAACAGAGGACAACATTTAGCAGAAGATTAATTATTAACTGCTCTCGATGCAATTATGGAAGTAGCTAAGAATGTCTCCAACATCGACAAAATAGCTGTGATGACAGACATTGCCAAATACCACACAAAAGAAAAACTTTGGAGCAAAGACATCATTTGGTGGGCAGCAGAGAATATGTCTCCTCTCACGTGGTAGAAGGGATACAGTAACATCCAACAGCTGTCCAGGATTGCTCTAAGGATCCTAAGCATTCCACCAACAGCAGCTTCTTGTGAACAGAAGTGAAAGGCTTTCAGCTCAATCAAGACAAAAAAGAGGAAAAAACTAACAAATGAAAGCACCACTAAGCTTGTCTCTATTTCTCAAAATCTCTTGCTTCTGGGGAATTAGTCAGAAGCACAATTAGTGAAGAAGATGCAGTGTGATGATAAGCTGCCTTTGCCCATAGACTCATTGGTAAAACCATCCTTTAGCAAAAGAAAATGTGGTTCAAGTAGTTCTGAATCAGATTTGCCTCAATGAACTAATAAGTAGTGCAAGTGATTCTACACATAGTGACAGTGAAACTGGAGGTGCCGCAATGACCTCAGTGGAAGAGAATTAAACTCTGTTGAAGTAGATGAGTGGAAAAACACGGCATACAGGTCAGTCGCATCATACGTGCATTTAACTTGTGCAAATTCAACTATATGCAGGGGGGGCTTGAGTTTGCACGCGGCGCTGCCGCTTACCTGGAGGCCCATTATGGCGGTGATGGCCACTGCCTCCAAAACCTCCCGCTGTTGCCATGGAGCCGTGCCCGGAGCTGTGTGGCTGGCCCCCGGGCAGCAGCGGCAGCGTGGTGGTGGCCGGGCAGCACACAGCCATCCCCATCACCACCATGCGCTGCGCTGCTGCCGCTGGCCGCACAGCTCTAAGCATGGCTCCGCGGCGGCGGCAGGAGGTTTTGGAGGCAGAGGCGGTCACCGCTAGTCAAATCCCTGGCACGGTAATACATGATTTGACTATATGCGATTTTCGCCTTACACGCTGACTTTAGAACGTAACCCCCACATGAGATGCGACTGACCTGTATCACGCACAGTTATTTGGGTGTGCTAAAATTAGCGTGTCAACAGTTTTCAGTGCCTTGGTTTTTTTTTCTTAATTTTAAACAAACAATGTAAGGGAAGTGCATGCTATTGTGTATTGTCTTTACAGTCTTACAAGTATTCCAATAAAATAATTTCTTTCCACATAAAGCTTTTAATTTGTTTGAATATAACATTTAAACCACATTAAGTGTGCTGTATTTAATTATTTTCCTAATCAAATATTTCATTTAATATACTTGTGGCTATTGGGACATAAAAGTAACATGGAGGTACTTTTTTAGTTTTGTTTACAAAACACAAGTCAAATGAACATGCTAAATGTAGGGCATTAGAAAATTTTCCAGAAAAATTTTCCCATTGAAAATGGGAAAAACATCTCTGGGGGAAACAATGGAAAAAAAACTCCTATGCGTTACAAAATGAAATACAGATTTACATACAGATGCATGTTGTATGTAAATCTAACAAACAAACAAACATGCTTATTCCCTAAACCACAGAGAAGTGCACACTAATGCAAGAGGAAAAGATTGTATTCTATTGATAAATACAACAATAAAATCTTTGGCATAAAAAAATCTGTCATTTGCAGAATCAACAGCATAACTGAGGTGTTGCCCTTCTGCATAAGCTACGGCAGTTGTTCACTCACACACCATTTTTCTCTGAAGAACATGAACAAACAGATTTCCTGCAGTTCAAATTGAGCACAAGCTCTTTTTATCTTGGCACTTAACAATTCTTGACACACTGCTGACATTTGTATTTTGGTAACAAAAATAATCTCTTAATGCCACTCAGTCTTCAGTCATCCTGCTACTTCCCTTGACGTTAGATATGTTGAGTCACATCCCCCTTATGCTTGATATCTGAGAATGACTGAACTCTAATAATCCATTCACAGCATTCACAGTTGCTACAGTTAGAGTGAAAATAATCAAATTGTGAATTCACACCCAAGATTCAAAAATAAGGTGAACTGGAACTCATTTTATCCAATGTTCTGACCTCCTTCCATAAATTTGCACCCAACTTCCTTCTCCTCCAAACTGATGGCAGCTGATTCTACATAATAGCCATTCCTCCAATCAACAATATCTACTTATCTTTAGAGATCAGTGGAGCTCAACCCTTCAGAATGGTGAGCTGGGCCACGTGCTTACGATCTAGCAGCACCATGGAGTTACCACTCTCCTCCAGTAGACAGAGAGAGAGAGGTAGAGAGGGGAGAGGGGTGAATGCCAATATCAGAGGGTGGGGAGAAGTAGGAAGAGAGCTTAGCTTCAGACAGCAAAAGGGATTAATGGCACAGCACTGGGTAGGGAAGGGGATATGGCAGGCTAATCTGCTTGCCACTGATCCCCCAAGTCATGGACCAGATCCAGTCACTTTGGGGGCCAGATGCAGCCTGCAGGCCATAGGCTGAGCACCACTGTTAGACAGCCCTAAGAACCTTAGTGGATTTATCACTTCCCTTTCAATTTTCTAGAATATTTAAAGCTTTCATTAAAATCAATTAGAGCTTAATATTTCCAGCACCAAAACTTTTTCCAATATAAGCTACCTCTAAGTAAATACTTGAGGGTGCATCTACACATGCAGTTAATGTGACGCTATGAACTCCAGAGCTGTTTGAGCCACAGTCAGCTGTTCCTAGGTGCAGTGTCTACACAGGACAGCAACAGTTTGAGCAGAGGTGGGCAGGCCTGGACTGGCAGCAAGGTTTTAGGGGTCAGCCCCAGGCTCCGAGTAGTGGGATCAAGCAGTAGAGGGGCTGGCCGGGGCATGAGAGTGCCCAAAGTGCAGAGGCATATGACTAGACAGCAGGCAGGAGTCTACCCCCCTGCTGCCTGGGTGCAATTTACACCCAGCTGTCAGTGTCTTCACGTGCCTTTCAGTGCAGTAAATTACTCTGCCGTACAATAGTACTGTACTATCCCTGACAGTACTGTCTTATGGCAGAGCTAATTTACTGCGCCATAACACCGGTACACACACAGATGGTGACACCTTACTGCAGAGCTAATTAACCTATTCCACAGTAATGTGCACATGTAAGTGCACCCTCAGAGTAGCAAAGAAAATTCAAAATAGGAAAGCCCAATAAAGTCAAAAGCAATGTTTTTCTCTGTAAAACCCTGAATTTTTCTACAACCCTGAACTACAGAAATCACACTACTAACCGAAATAGAGATTTGATGGACTTTGTCATTAAGGCATTGAAAATGTGTTATATATTGCAGTATATACATTCCACCTCTCAGATTCCCACAGTATTATCATTTCCACTAAGAAAACTTACAAACTAACTTGGACTTCTTTATAAAAGGCACACAATACCTGCAAGTCTTCTTATTTACCTAACAGCATAACAGTGAAATTCTGTAGAGTAGGCACTGTACTACTTAGGCTGTGGTGCTAATGAGAACTCCTTGGCACCATTAACAATACCTTTAGAACAGAAAAGTCGTAGACCAAGCATGGAGATCCCCACCCCCCAATTATATTTTCCTGCTAAAAACCGGTTAGTTTTCATATTTTATAAACCTGATTAGTACATTGTAATTAAATTCTATCAAGTATTTTAATCAACTACTAATTTCCCAGTTTAGTGAGTTTGTTTACTCTTCAAAAAACATGACATCTTGATTAAATACTTTTATAAGAATAAAGGTAAAAGAGAGAGATTGATATTCTATTCTAAATGTCCTCCTTAACCAAGAATAGTAATTGCTAGGAGCGGGCTGGTTTAGGATACAAGATAGGTGGAAAATACAATTCAGATTAAAAAAAAAATTGAATGTGTGTACAAGAAGGATTACATTAAACAATCAACTATTGGACATTCTATTGGACATGGAGTGTCAAAGAGATGGCCTGCAGCCTGAGGAGCTGTATCATCCAGCCTCTGATGCTGCCTATGGGCCTGGGACTGGCCCCACACACCACATGCAGCAAGCACATGGAGCCAGTCTGGTGTGTACTGTATGCAATGCACGAGGCTGACCAGGTGCAGGCACTGTATGCATAGTGTGAGGCTGGTGTGGGGCACGCATTGCAAACGGCTCACAGGAGCAATCTGGGACGTGTGCTGCACACAATGCATGCACCAATCCAGATCAGGCCCACAGGCCAGCCCCAGGTACCAGATCCAGTCCACAGGGCCACATCAGCACAGGCACTGCATGCAGCATATGCCCTGAACCAGACCCATGCACTAGAACCACTATGTGCCCCAAACCAGCCCTGTCCCATGTGTCTCATCCAGCATGTGGGATCAGAACCAGTGCATGCTGCATGTGGCACAAGGGGCTGGAGCCAAGGGATGCATAGGGCTGATTTAAGGAGCATGCTGGCTCTGGTGTGCAGGGTTGGTCTGTAGGACCAGTGTGACCAATGGACCAGCCCTGTGCTCTTCCTCCAGCCCGCAGGACTGGATGTGTTTGATACCCCTGACTTAAACTATTATACAGAGAGCTCAGCTAGAGAATAAAATGTTCATCTCACCTTTTAATGGGGAAAAGAAATCAAGAATATTTCATGGGTATATGTTGTAGCCATGTTGGTCTAAGGACATAGGCAGACAAGGTTCTTTGGGTGAATCTGATATCTTTTATTACACCAACTTAAATAGTTGGAAAAAAAATATTTTTAGTAAGCTTTCAGGTTTAAAAACCCTTCGTTAGAGGCTTCCTCAGCCTGACAAAGGGTTTTTAAACCGAAAGCTTGCTAAAAATGTTTTCCCAACTATTTAAGTTGGTCTAATAAAAGATATCAGTTTCACACAAAGAACCTTGTCTAAGAATATTTCATGTAATTCCAGGGGCTTAAACCTGCAACAGTTACTCCTCTGAGTAGTCCCACTGACTTTAATGGTACAACTGGCATGAACACAGATTACTCACATCCATTCCAACTGCAGATCAGCCCCAGGTTTGTTCTAAAGGTATTACAAGCTCTTTCCTTAGAAAAGGGGCCGCTCCAGTCCTCAAGCAGATTGGGTCCTAAAAATAGTAAGTCTAACGATAAACATATATGACAAAAATGGGGGCATATTCTGTATCTATTTTCATCCAGTGCAGCTCCAAGATGTAATTCAATGTAGAAGTGCAGACTTTTTTTTATTACTACTACTGTAACTTATAATGTATTTATTAATTTAAAATACCATTGCACAATAAAAAAGAAATTGGGTACCTGGCTGGGTCGTCCTCCTATAATATTGAATCCCAGAGTATCATTTTTTCTTTGCAGCAGGATGGTTAATGGCTTGGTTTCACCACCCTGCGAAAGAAAGGAAATCAACACTATATTCAAAATATTACTTAAAAAATAATACTTTAAGCAAGTGCACTGATGTGTTAAAGCTCTTAATTGTGGAAAACACAAGATAAGAAGGCTCCTAGAAAATCATGTTGAAAACAGTGGTGTTACAAAACATACAGGAGTTTACATTGTTGAGGCTGAGGGGGTGGAGAAAGAAAACAAATACCACTAAAATGTAATAGGCATTAGAAGAGCCCAAGGGTCTGATTTTCATTCAAACTAAGCCAGTGATTTTTAGATTCAGAGCAATCCCGAATGACTCAAGGCACCCCTAAGAAAATGCCAGCTCTTAGTTTTCACTCTTTTTTGACTAGGGAAAAACAACAGAACAATCCTTTTCTGGCAAAGAACTCAGAAAGACCACAACAGGTCAGAATATTTTTAACAGTATGGATTCCAATTTGAAAAATCTGAGTTTAATGCTGTGAATCATGTTTGCACATCTAAAAGTGCTACCACTGCATAACAACACGTGACATCCTTGAAAAGATCCACAGCACCCGAGGATGCCATGACACAATGGTTAAGAATCAATGGAGTAAGCACACAGTTGTACATTTACTGGGGCTGAGGATTTGGCATCTCTGAAAATAAAAGTTCAAAATGTTTGTTAATCACTGTTTGCTAACACTGAAGAGATGAAACATATGGGGATAAGCCTGAAACTTGCTTCTGTACAGATTTGATATGAATTCATAGGAAAACCTTTATTTCTCCACTACAAAACAAAAAAGCAAGAAAAAGAGGCAAGACGACATTTTTTTCTGGATGAGAATTTTTTTCTTTTAAACACACAATCAAAAATAGCAAAGAAACCAAAGTTAAATAATAAGTAAGACAGGAGAGAAACTCCTTTTAAGTAGCAATATTAAATCATTTCCTAAATGATAAAAACATTTTAAAAACTCAGAAAGTTTTAAAGTTCATTTACTGGCAGGTTCACTGATTTTGCCTTTTTCACGTATAGAAAATAGTTAGACATGAACAGACAAAATCCCTACAGAAAAAACTGTACTAAACACACACAAGCTGAGATAACCTCTCCAAAGTGGCAAACCAAAGCAAATATGACAACTAAAGAACATATACATTTTTAAATAGTCAAAACATAATATATAATCTGGACCCACTGATAGACATGTTTTATTAACAGTGGCAGTGAAAGTTTTTATCATAGCACAACACATTTAATTTTAAGATATATTTCTACTTTACTCATAGTTTTTTCTTTTAAGTCACTGCTTTTTCCATCATCCCCGTCTTCTTCTAGAAAAAAGAGATTTCTCTAAGGGAGAACATACAGCAACACCTACTGGTAGTGAGCAGGAATATTCAAGCATTACCCAAAAAGAATGCCTTCATGCCAATCAATGCAGTATATGCCATCTCCTTTTCATATCCAATCTCCTTTCCTCCCTTCTGCTACAACCAATTTTTTTCTTATATATCCTGCCCTTCTCTACACCCATTACTGTCTCTCCATCAGACCTCATATCTTCCAAGAAGTTAAGTGGAGTAATTGGCTTCCAAAGCCAATAACTCAAACCCTTTATACTAGCCATCATGAGCACTTAGCAAAATAAAAATCTAAAAATAAAAGCAAAAACAGGAAAAAGATTAAATATTCAAGTTCCCAAACACCAAGTATAGGCCTTTCCAGGAAGATCTGTTACTTTGTTTATATTAGTCCTGCACACACCATGAATGTTAATCAGTGCCCTCAGCTTAAATCTTATGTCTAGCAGTTTAAAGTTAACCATATTGCATAATTAGCTCAGAAGTAGAGAAGGCTACTCAGGTCTTTTCTTTTGGATTCTGTTTCCCAAGAGTCATTAAAGATTTTGGAAGAAAAGTCCCTTGAGTGGAGCTTAAGTTCCATTAAAGCACTTCTCACCATGGCTGCAACCAGCAATGCCAGACCCTGCACAGCAATCCGTCGGACAGGAATTAAAGCTTTACAAAACAACCCCCGTAGCATATTAAACCAGATCACTGGGAAAATGGGGTTGTTTATTCAATCAAAAGCAAACAATTCAATATCCAAGCAAGGCCATCACACTTGAAAAAAGACTGAAGCAGCAGTGCAAGTCTCTAACGTCAAATTGCCAATCACCATGACATTCTCCCAAATGAACAACACTCCTCTCTGCCCCTACACACAATTATACCGAAAGAGCAAACCATTCCAATGTCCTTAAATACCAAACTATTTTGTAAAGCAACTGCTTGATACTGTAAATATAGAAAGAAAAATCGGCCAACTCCACACCTTTTCCAAGCATCTTAATACTGTCAGTAAAAGATCTCAGGAAGCTGTACATATCTACTGAACTGGGACCCCAAATAAAAAAAAACAAACCTTTGTAAACACAGTATAAGCCAAGTAAACCAAGACTGATGGACTGTGGTCCGTTCTATTCTGTTCCCCCTGCTATGGAAGATCCACATTCATATTTTTTCACCAGCAGCCAACTTCAAACCCTATCCTCTCATGTCTACTTTCCCTTTTTGCTAAACCAGCAATTCTCATCCAGGGTGTCCCCGCATCTTGGGGTGGCATGAGATCCCTTTAAGGGTGCCATGCCCTACTACCACGGTAAGGTGTGCAAATACCTACACATGATTCACAAGATAAATATGAGTTTCAAATCCCCTGGGTCAAAAACATTTTGACCTGCTGTGGCCTTTCTTCTTCCTCTTCTTCCCCCCTTCCTTGTCCTGTCGAAAAGGGGGTTGCTCTGCAGATCCCGTTGTAACAGAGCTGTTCTGTTATTTTTCTTCTTCTTCCTCCCCTCTCCCTGGTCTCATCTAAACAGGCTTGCTGTGGCAGATCCTGTTATAACAGAACTGCTATTTTTCTAGAGTCAAAAAAGAAGCGACAGCAAAGAGCTGGCATCTTCCGAGGGGCACCTCGAATGTAAGGAGGGGCACCTTCAGCCTTACAAAGTGTCTAACAAGGTTGGCAATCAGGGCTGTAGGCAAACCTGCCACAAGATGCTGGTCCAGGCAACTTGCCGTGGGTGCTTAGCAGCGACTGCCTTAAGGCTTGCTGGAGCTGCCTGCTACAAAAGACCCCCCCTCCCCCAAAATAAATAAATAAATAACAGCACAAGTAGAAGAAATCCAGGGTTTCTAGCTCCCTTGTAGACTCCTGGTCTGCTCCAAAAAAAGATAAAAAAAGAAGTGTGGAGATGCAGGAATTGGACGAAGGGCAGGGAGCGGGAGGCAGTGGGAAGCGGGGCGCGATGCTGCGGGCCCGCGAGTCCCGCCCCG